TACTCCTCTCTTAGGGGAGCCTCCCTCGCGCTCTGTTCGCTTAGCAACTCCGCGGCGGTCGCGTCGCACCGTGATAACATTCCCGAAAAAAGCTGCGACAAAATGCAGTTCCCTGTGGCGCGTTTGTCGTATACGTTTCGGAGCATCGAGGGCCGTTCGACGTTTTCGAATGAAGTGTCGAGATAGAGCGTTGTCCTTCGCAAAGTATTTGTTCAATTATTTGAACCGAATGTACAATTGATTTTAAGTAGAGTTATCTCTGATTGCGGTAGAATGATTTTATACAAATGTAAATGGTAACAGACTAAGAATAGAATTTTTACTTGTAATAGATTGTTCGATAGAACGTTTACTTGAAATAGCTTTTCAATTCAATTTAAATTCAATTTACGATCGATTGTTTGCAGTATTACTTTAATTGTAACAGATTTTTTACAGTATTACTTTAATTACAACAGATTTTTTACAGTATTATTTGAATTATAACAGATTTTGTACAGTATTACTTTAATTATAACAGATTTTGTACAGTATTACTTTAATTATAACAGATTTTTTTACAGTATTACTTTAATAACAACAGATTTTTTACAATATTACTTTAATTATAACAGATTTTTTACAGTATTATTTGAATTATAACAGATTTTGTACAGTATTACTTTAATTATAACAGATTTTTTACAGTATTACTTTAATTACAACAGTTTTTTTACAGTATTACTTTAATTATAACAGATTTTGTACAGTATTACTTTAATTATAACAGATTTTGTACAGTATTACTTTATTAACAACAGATTTTGTACAGTATTACTTTAATTACAACAGTTTTTTTATAGTATTACTTTAATTATAACAGATTTTTTACAGTATCGTTAATTGTAACAGATTTTTACTATGAATTTTAATAGAAATCTACTTTTAATAGAAATTGTAATTCTAATAGATTTCTATCCAATTGAATCCATGTACTTCAAATATATTGAAAAACATGACTTCATAAAATACGTGTGAAGTGGTGAATTAGAAATAGGCACCACTGCGCGTAGTCGCCCGGTTCGTCGGTGTTCGACGGATCCAAGGGTTAGAAAGCTTCGGGAGGTGGTCTCGCTGCGATTGGAGTGCTGCCTGCAGCTTCGTGGTTGGCTCTATTCGACGAGTTAATAATAGTGCACGGGGAGACTATTTTTTTTCTCTCCTTTTCCCCCCGAAAGACTTTCCTCGGGGTACGCTGGAGCGGCGCGGGGTCATCGGATCCGTGGATTAGAAGGCTGACAGAGGTGCATACTTGGGTCGCAGGTTCCTGCTAGGCGAAAGGGACAAGGGAGCAGTTTTTCGGGATTTTTCCTGAGAGAGAAAAGTAGCCTTTATTTAATGTACCCGGTAGATCGGTCCTGCGGGAGTTTTCCGGGCAATTTGTTGCGCGCCATGGTCCTCGGCCGGCGACTCTGTCGTGCTACACGTTACCGGTCGGTATCTACTCCATCGTTCTCTGCGTTTTTTGCTTTTTTAACGGACCAGACGGCGAGAGACAAAGGGCATAGGCACGGGCAGAGGCGCTTCCTGCACGTGCGCAGATGCGCCACCCGGCCGGATCGGGTCTGTTATTTGCCACATTGTTGCTGATAGTGGTGATCGATAACCGACGGCGATAGGTATTTATTGAAACGGAATTGCCCGAGTCCGGGCCGGTCTTTACAACTACAAAACTCGAGGAGGCCGCGAACAATGAAACACCGGGTTACTGCGCACGCTCCTATTGCACCGCGAAAGCCCACGAGATACGTATCTGTTTTTATTACGTGGAATCGTCTGTCGTTTATCAGTGTCTTACCTAGTCTCCGCCACGATCCTGTCCCAAGTACCATAACTAGCGTCATCGGTGCTATCTTCCCGAGGCTCCTGTCTCAGTCGGAGATGGTACTTTAGACTCATGGTATCTTACCACTATCTTTCATAGTTCCTTCTTCACCTAATCTACCTTTTCTATATAGAATTTCCTCTTCGTACCCTTTACGTAGTCCATTTTTTGGTCTTTTAGGTCGGTCTATTGGTAGCTGCTTCCTTAGAACTTTTTCTAAAACTTTCTCTAGACCGTTTCATAATTTTTTGATTAATTTTTCTTCCTCTATGCGTGATATTTAGATTTTCAAATTTCTGAGCACTTCTGAAAGAGCACTCTCGGAATCGTGTACCGAATTTTGAGCACTATGTACTTTGTTGAAATATCAAAATTTCGTACTTTTGAGCCATCGTTCGAGGTCGAGAAATCGGCAACTTGTACTTCTGAGCCACTTTCTTTCTTGGAAAATCAAATTCTCGTACTTTTGAGCCATTTTAGAAGTCGAAATAGCGTAGTTACGTACTTTTGAGCCATTTTCGAAGTGGAAAAATAAAATTTCGTACTTTTGAGCACTTTTCTGACATGAGAAGTCAAAATTTCGTACTTTTGAGCCATTCTCTAATGGAAAAAATCGAAATTTCATACTTTTGAGCCATTTTCTAATAGGAAAAATCGAAATTTCGAACTTTTGAGCCATTTTCGAAGTGGAAAGATCGTAATATCGAACTTTTGAGCACTTTTCTGACACGAAAAGTCGAAATTTCGTACTTTTGAGCCATTTTCGAAGTGGAAAAATCGAAATTTCGAACTTTTGAGCACTTTTCTGACATGAACAGTCGAAATTTCATACTTTTGAGCCATTTTCTAATAGGAAAAATCGAAATTTCGAACTTTTGAGCCATTTTCGAAGACGGAAAATCTCAAATTGGTGCTTGTAAGCACATTGGGAATAACATCCTATCCTCAAAGATTAAAAATGATATTATTGTGCCGCACTTACGCGTTAACGTTTGCGTGGGTAAAACAGGGAACAAATATAAAAGACACTTTTTCTCTTCTGTATAACTTCGTATTTATTATTTTCTTCGACGATACATTTTTAACGATACAAGATCGCAAAAGACATAGTCCATATAAAACTGTACAATGTGTAACGTAACGAGCTCGTTAAAACAAAGAACATAAATAAGACATATAATATAAACAACGACTACACGAATATGCAACATAATATACAACATACATAAATACAAAAATAAATATCGCGTACGATTATAAAATTAGTTACTATAAAGCAAATACAATGCCGCAACGAAATGACGGGAGTAACAAGGCTCGAAGGGAGGCTTCGCGATCCTTGGACGAGAGAGATCCCGTTCCGCAACGATCCGCCCCAGATAGCCGGTCGTTCAGCCAGGCAGAAACGAGCGACGGTAACCGTGTGTGTTTCTGTTGGCGTCGGTGTTGGTGTACACGTGTGAGCATGGACATCTATGCGTGTACAGGTTTCGCGCATATGTGCCGCAGACTATGGACGTATGATTGTGTTGGCAGAGAGGGAGGGAGGTGGATAGAGAGAAAGAGGGACGAGTGGATCGTCCGTTGACGAACGGTGGTAGTGGCGGCGGCGGTGGTGTGGTAGTAGTGGTGGCGTTCCCGGTAAACGGGAACGGGAATCAATCGATCGATCGGTTATAAGCGGCGCGGGATGGATTAATTAAAAAACGGCCGGCGACAAAGGGTCGCGAGGGGGAAGGGAGGGCGGATGCTTCGTGCGGCGGAAAGCCTTGAACTGTTCGCGAACCAGACCAGGAATACGCGGCCGCAACTTTTTCACTTTCTAGGGACAATCGTGGCCGATTCTATGGGCCGGGAAACTTGATCGAACGTCCATCCTTCGCGGCCCTTTGCTTCGCTGTCATCGAAGAAGAGGGTTCGGTTATCGGCCTGGCCGGAGATCCGTAATTTTTGGTCAAAAGTCAGTTTTTCGAGTCTCATATTTCAAAATATTTATGTTATAGTATATTATATTTGTATTATATTTATATTATACTATAGTATATATATATATATATATATATATATATATATATATATATATATATATATATATTTGTATTATATTTATATTATGCTANTATATTATATTTTATTTTTATTATATATATTTTAATAGTATATATATATATATATATATATATATATATATATATATATATATATATATATATTTGTATTATATTTATATTATGCTATATTATATTTATATTATACTAAATTATATTTGTATTATACTTGTATGACATTTTTATATTATACTAAATTATATTTGTATTATACTTGTATGACATTTTTATATTATATTATATTATATTTGTATTATATTCATATTATACTATATATTATATTCGTATTATATTCATATTATATTATATTAGCTATAGTAAACTCTGCTTCGAGGATCTTCCGTACATCAGAATTAGGCATGTTTTACTCAAATACCAAATTTTATTCGAATATATTATTATATTATATTTTATATTATATTACGTTATATTATATTATATATTATATTTATATTATATTATAACCTCTAAACTGAGAACCCTCGGAAACCATGAAATCCAAAGTATCAAGTTTATCAGAAAACTTTACGACGAAATATAACAAACTTATGAAATTGAAAAAGTAAAACTAATTATCGCCAATTACTATATTACGGGTCTCTATGCAAAATAAAAGCTGTTCGCATTGACTGCCGGCTGCAGTCAACTTTGCAAGCGTTTATTTCCTTCCTCGCTAATTTCAACGCATTTGATCTACTCATTTTTCTCACGAATGCACAAATTCGCACTCCAGTAATCATTCGTTATTAAATTTTTCAGACATTTCCGACGATCCCGCAACAGCAAAATATTTCCAACAAAAGCTGCCGGTCGGTATTCACTTCTCTACAAATTAAAATGCTCCCATAAAAAAACCGACAAACAAATCTTTTACTTCGTGAAAAATGCTGGTCGCGTTTACTTTTGAAACGTTAACGCATACTTTTCACTTGATTATTAACGTATCAACCGGTGTCGCGACTGATTCGACGATCTATCATAACGTAACCTTGAACCTTGAAACAACGATGAGACAACTTTGGTTACAGAAATCGAATTTCCGGACCGTTGTGCAGTGGTCAGCTCATACTTCTCCTCGATCATCCGACGATTACGGCTCCTGGACAGCTCCCGTTTCGAGGATAAGGAACGAGTGCTTGGATCCGCCGATGTTTCAGAGGTATTGTAAAGGGTTACAGCGATATTGTAGGGGGTTGAAAAGTATTCGGAAGATGCTGGATCGGTGGCCGGGGTAGTCTCGTGATCTGCAGGATTTTGGGAGAATTAAAAGCCGACACTTTTTACTCCGCGGCGAGAGAGCTCGCGTTGCTTCCCAAAGGCGGAAATACAGTAATGTCTCTCTAATTGACGCTCAGATTGTCTCGAGAAATGGACAATTTGGGAAGAGAGGATACGATTATTCGAGCTTTGCAACTCGTTTTTATAGTTGTTGAGAAACGGTAATTATAAAAACGAGGCGTAAGATTCAAATTAATCGCATCTCCTTTTCCCAAATATATATAATGCACACATGTTATATAATATACAATGTTAACCACAGAAATGGACAATTTCGGAAGAGGAGATGGAATTATTCGAGCTTCGCGGTTTGTTTTTACAGTCACGAATTGTCAACGATTATAAAAACGAGCTCGAACAATCGTATCCCCTCTACCCAAATCGTCCATTTTTGTGCACAATCTGGGCGTCAGTAAGGGAGACATTACTGTACTCTGTAATAACTGTCCTGTATATTTGCTAATAATATTAAAATAAAGATAACATTAAAATATAAAATATAAATTTATAATATGATCTATACGAATGGATGCTATAACGAACGAGGTTCTAGAACGAATTACATTCGTTACAGGAACCCCACTGTAACAATTCTGTTTTCTCCCAAATTTGCATAATTCGATGTTCTTTCCCGTCGTGTCAATTTTGCATTGAAATTTGCTCTGCACAATTCCCTCTAACTAATCGACGCTCAGATTGTCCACATAATTACACAATTTGGGAAGAGGAGATGCAATTATTCGGGCTTTGCGGTTTGTTTTTATGGTCACGAATTGTCAACGATTATAAAAACGAGCTGTAAGACTCAAATTAATCGAATCTCCTCTTTCCAAATCGTCCGTTTTTGTGCACAATCTGAGCGTCAGTTAGGGAGATATTACTGTACATTTGTTACAGGATACCCCATTATAACAATTCTGTTTTCTTCCAAATTTGCATAATTCGATGTTCTTTCCCGTCGTGTCAATTCTGCATTGAAATTTGCTCTGCACAATTCCCTCTAACTAATTGACGCTCAGATTGTCCACAGAAACGCACAATTGGGGAAGAGGAGATGCAATTATTCGAGCTTCGCGGTTTGTTTTTATAGTCACGACTTGTCAACGATTATAAAAACGGGCTCGAACAATTGTATCCCCTCTTCCCAAATCGTCCATCTTCGTGCACAATCTGAGCGTCAGTAAGGGAGACATTACTGTATCGAGGCGATCCGCGAATCGAATGAAAAGCGTCCGATCGACCGCTGCTCTCGAACCGCCTTTGGGAAGCGAACCGCGCGCGAGCTTTCGAGCAAATGTCGCAGCGTTGGCTGCGGGCCGCGCTCGCGGGCCGAGTCGCCGCGAGAGTTTGAAAATGATAAGACTGCTCTCCGACTCCGACTTCTTGGCCAGATATCCGTTCGTTACTGAACTCCGCGCGTTCTCGTTCGATCCGCTATCGGGAAACAACCGGCAGGACCCGGGAAACGCGTCTCCGGCCAAAGACCTCGGGGCGGAACAGGACAAGCGCGGGGGGAGAGGAGGGAAAAAAAACGCGCGCGTCTGATTACTGAAAGTCCAACCGGCTTCTTCGCGACTGCTCGTGCAGCCTGCAGTGGCCTCCTCAAGTTTCCTCATTTCGCTTATTCAGCGACGGTTCGAAGGGAAACCGGGCTTCTCTTCTTTTGATTGGTTCGTTAGCGGGGTCCGCGACGCGAATGAGGGACGGCGCGACGCGCTGCCACCGCCGTGGATAGCAAATAAAAGAGGGACCACCGGGAGGGGGAGGGGAGGGGATCCGGGATCGCAGGGGCTGAACGGAAAGACGCGAGCAACGACGAGCAGAGGAAGAGAGGAGAAGATAGAAGCCGGGGAGAGAGGCTTCTTCTTCCGCGTCCTTGACTCGTAGAGTCCTCGTCTGTTGCGCGAAGAAATGAAGAGGACGGTTGGGCGAAGGGGCGAGGGAGGGAGGGAACCCGCTTCTGGCTTCTCTTTATTTTCTTATTGTTGTTTGAACCGCTGGAACGATACAATGTTAACTTGGCGAACGAAGTGCAAGAAACGCGAGCGAGACGGGCTCGAGAGCCAGCTGCGGAACCTTTGCTCTCGACCTTGATACACACCCCGACGAATCGAACGCAAGAGAAAAATAACGCGCGACGAATTCGTGGCGAATCGCGCGCGGCGAACGGCCGCGAAACGAGTCCTCCGCGATCGGCGGCCAGCGGTTACGGTGGGAAAGGAAATTCCGCGCGGCGGACACGTTTCGAAATGGTCGGCGCGCGGGCATGCTCGTTTAATTTTTAATTAACGTACACCTTCCCGTGTAATTTATGCCGGGAGGGAAGTGGCGCGATTTCCCGTACAGAAATTCGGCCGGGGAAATGCTGGCTGCGCGCGGCACACGGCGAGCCACGGAGCTTTGCCGACGTGAAAACAAGTTTCGCTTTGAAGCGGGGCCGCGGGCTCGTTCTCTCACGCTCCAAAAATCATCCGTCGGCGTCGCTTCTTCTTCTTCGCCTTCTGCCCGTCTCGTCGCGCCTCGTCGTCTTGTTAATTAAAAAATGTCTCGACGGCCGTGCTTCATTAACACTTTATCGACCGCTAGCCTATTTATCGGCTTTTCGATTGCCAATGTTTATCGATCGCTAGCCTATCAATCGGCTTTTCGATTGCCAATGCTTATCGACCGATAGCCTATTAATCGACTTTTAGCTATCGACGGTTTTCGCTTCTTTACTGTTTTGTTAGTAGCTGACCTCCTGTATGCTGACCTCCCCATATCCTTATGAATTATAATTATAATAATTATTATTATTTATTATTATTTTTAAAGGAATAAGCACAACANTCGTGCAGCCTGCAGTGGCCTCCTCAAGTTTCCTCATTTCGCTTATTCAGCGACGGTTCGAAGGGAAACCGGGCTTCTCTTCTTTTGATTGGTTCGTTAGCGGGGTCCGCGACGCGAATGAGGGACGGCGCGACGCGCTGCCACCGCCGTGGATAGCAAATAAAAGAGGGACCACCGGGAGGGGGAGGGGAGGGGATCCGGGATCGCAGGGGCTGAACGGAAAGACGCGAGCAACGACGAGCAGAGGAAGAGAGGAGAAGATAGAAGCCGGGGAGAGAGGCTTCTTCTTCCGCGTCCTTGACTCGTAGAGTCCTCGTCTGTTGCGCGAAGAAATGAAGAGGACGGTTGGGCGAAGGGGCGAGGGAGGGAGGGAACCCGCTTCTGGCTTCTCTTTATTTTCTTATTGTTGTTTGAACCGCTGGAACGATACAATGTTAACTTGGCGAACGAAGTGCAAGAAACGCGAGCGAGACGGGCTCGAGAGCCAGCTGCGGAACCTTTGCTCTCGACCTTGATACACACCCCGACGAATCGAACGCAAGAGAAAAATAACGCGCGACGAATTCGTGGCGAATCGCGCGCGGCGAACGGCCGCGAAACGAGTCCTCCGCGATCGGCGGCCAGCGGTTACGGTGGGAAAGGAAATTCCGCGCGGCGGACACGTTTCGAAATGGTCGGCGCGCGGGCATGCTCGTTTAATTTTTAATTAACGTACACCTTCCCGTGTAATTTATGCCGGGAGGGAAGTGGCGCGATTTCCCGTACAGAAATTCGGCCGGGGAAATGCTGGCTGCGCGCGGCACACGGCGAGCCACGGAGCTTTGCCGACGTGAAAACAAGTTTCGCTTTGAAGCGGGGCCGCGGGCTCGTTCTCTCACGCTCCAAAAATCATCCGTCGGCGTCGCTTCTTCTTCTTCGCCTTCTGCCCGTCTCGTCGCGCCTCGTCGTCTTGTTAATTAAAAAATGTCTCGACGGCCGTGCTTCATTAACACTTTATCGACCGCTAGCCTATTTATCGGCTTTTCGATTGCCAATGTTTATCGATCGCTAGCCTATCAATCGGCTTTTCGATTGCCAATGCTTATCGACCGATAGCCTATTAATCGACTTTTAGCTATCGACGGTTTTCGCTTCTTTACTGTTTTGTTAGTAGCTGACCTCCTGTATGCTGACCTCCCCATATCCTTATGAATTATAATTATAATAATTATTATTATTTATTATTATTTTTAAAGGAATAAGCACAACACAATGAATAGCGAAAATTTAGCCGGTACTGGGAGCAAATGCGCGCGCGACTAAGCCAGTCCTTACTGAGTGGCAGCCTCAACCACGACCGGACGATAAAGTGTTAACCGCGAGACATCGAAGAGGCCCGGGACGCGATCGCGCGGGACCGGTCTCTCTCTCTTTCGGGGTCCCGAATCTGACCCAGCCTTATTACGGTTTCGGCGTACTTTACAAGATTACCGCACGGTCGGCCCTTTCGCCGGATCTCCACGGCTCCGCTAATAGGCTTAGCTACCTGTTAGCTACCTTTTAGCACGCCTCCGGGCACGCCGACCGCGCGCGTCTTCTTGCCGCGAGCGTTCGGGTCATCGGATAGCCTTGGCCACGCCGCCTATACCCTTTGATCCTCGAAACAATTCGAGACGATCAGCCTATTCTTTGACGACAGTGATTCGGGTTGTACGAATCTTTATTGCTTTGCAAGACCGCTATGCGATCTTTATCGCTTTTCTTATTTTAAATGTCAGGTTTTCTTTGCTTTCTAGACTTTTATTTACGTTGATGTGTCCAGAGCAATTACAATTAAATGTCACTGTAGCATACGTGCCTCTGTAGCAAAAATGTCTCGTAATATGGAAATGGGAGAATCCTGAGGTTATTTGAAGTAACTTTTTCCTTCGCGGAAATGCAATCCGCGGATTCGTTCACGAGTTATTAAGGAGAAACGGTGACCAATGAGAGGCGAGCTCGGCTCGCGCGAGGCGGTCCAGCCAATGAGCGGAACTGGGCTTCGTGCGCTCGTTGGCTGGCCCGCCTCTCGCA